TTTAGTTAAACTGCTTTTCTATCAACATTAAACCACCCTCAATTCCACTGGCTGGTGCAGTCTGTTTGTGCCATTTCGGGGTGCAGGAGACGGGGAACCCCCAACGCGCCGTCACACCCTGCAAGGCTGAAGCTGTGCCACCAATCCTCCTGCGGCCAGGTAGGCTTGCGGTGGGAACCATCTATGTTCCAAGGTCAGGGGAGCTGCTTGCCCTCTTGGGCTCAGAGGCCACCTGCCTGTCCTATGCTCTGGGGAAGGCTTGGGCCATGGGTTTTGTCCGCCCTCCCTCCCTGTGCTGATGGGAGAAGGCTGGGGCCACCTGCCTCCTGCTGGGGGAGTGGCTTGCAGGACTTCAGGTGGAAGAGATAGGACTGCGGGTTTGTCTCTCCATGATTTAAAGGAAAACAATTATTTAAATCACCAGTTAGTAACAGTCTAGTATGTATAAAAGTATGAATCATGCATTTTTAGCAGTTGCTAAATCTGGATTTTAATACATGCATGTATATGTTAATCTTATTTTATAATACTACTTTGCACTTTCCTAAGAATCTGACTCATTTTTAAACTGGGTATTAAAGATTAGAGGCAACTGAATGTTCACATGTTCAGTGTTCACACAAAGATATATGTAAGTAACTTTATCACAAAGTCTTCACTACTGAGTATTCCCTGATGCATTATTTAAATTAATTATCCTATGAGTTCTGAGTGACTGCCAACGCTATAGTAGGGGAAAAGTTAAATTGCATATTTGTATTAAATAGGTTTATAATAGCCTTATTGTAATGACTGAATGACCGGCACTGATTTCTAAAGGAAACATTAATGGTTAATTGAAAACATGCACTTAGCTAGTCTTAACATGGAGAAATTTTGACTGGAAAACCTTTTGGTATAAAGCTCTGAAAATTCTGCACAAGAATTTTCTTTTGAAAAGTACTGTATGTCTTTGAAGTAGCAAATGTGCTAACTGATGCAGGAGTTCTTGTAATTTACTTACCAGCAGAAAATATTGCCAGTATCATATGGACTTATTTAGTTAATATACACGTTCCACATAATGTATTGACCACACATATGCTGTGTAATTAAAGAGTTATCGTGCCAAAATACTTTGTCAGGGCCCAATGCAAAGCACACCATATTCAATGGAGGTGTCTTTCCAATGATTTCATTGATCTTTGGTTAAGGCCTTTAAATCGCAATTTATGCTGACTGCAGGTAATCCAACATATAATATTGATTCAACTTTTCACAAAGATAATGAATGATTTAACAATACATCTGTAGTTTTTTCCTACTACTTACAACTGATGTAGCAACAGACATTTTCTGCTTTGCAATATATTGCCTAGTTAATTAAGGAAGGAAATTTAGTTAAACTGCTTTTCTATCAACATGTATTAAGTGAACATTTTTCATCAAAATGTGTACTAGCCCCTATTTGAATAAATGCAGTCTCTCTACTCTGTGAATATGCAAATGAGGCAAATGAATGTTTGATGCACCAGCATGCATGCATATCAGGAAATACGTTTAGATTTGCATGTACCCTTTCTTTTATGTGGAACTGGATGCTTTCACATAGGAAGGTGTGTGGTAATCAAACTGGGTACTTGCACATCTAACAGTGAGTGCTTGTCTGCATATGGGGGTATATCTGCACTGCACAGAAGTGTATGACATGTCTAAGGTGTGGGACGACAGGCTTTGGGCATGTTGAGTAAACGCAGATCTGAGGGAGACTGAATATGGGCTATTCCATATCTAATGGATCATATATGGACAGATATGTCAGATCATGATACATCAAAAGGGAGTGTATGTACTTGTATAGCACAGGTCACTGCAGGTTACCTGTACTGCTATGTCTCACTGCATGTCTAAGGGAGTGGCAATGGTAAATATTAGGGATGTAAGCGACTAGTCGAGTAGTTGACTATCCTTATCGGGTAGTCGAGTGACTGCTTGCTTTCCCCCACTCCTTGCTGCATCTGTATTAGATGCAGCAAGGGGCGGGGAAACAGGAGCCGGTGGTGGGGGAAGACAGCTTGAAAGCTGGCTGCCCCTCAGCACCATCTACATGGTGCATGGGAGCCAGGGGTAGCAGAGCAACTATTCAGTCCCAGCTCCCACCACCCAGAGAACTAACCCTGCTGCAGCTCTGCACTTTGCTGGGCTCTTACTACATTTAAAATGCAGAGCTGCAGCATCCTAGAGGGCAGTGTGAGCTGGGACTGTTCAGTCCAGGCTTGCACCGCCCACAGGAGCTACCTTGGGGTAACTCACCATAGGGTTAGCTCCTGGGAGTGGTGACTCTGCACTGCACAGAAGTAGGTTCTTACTACCATTAAAGTTCAGAGCTGGAGTGGGACCACTCCCCCTGTTATCGGCTATGGGTACGTCTAGACTGCATGCCTCCTGCGACAGAGGCATGTAGTCTAGACATACCCTAATTGAGTAGTTGATGGAAATTCCATAGGCTACTTGATTAGTCAAGTATCAGAGGGGTAGCCATGTTAGTCTGAATCTGCAAAAGCGGCGAGGATTCCTGTGGGACCTTATAGACTAACTGAAGTGTTGGAGCATAAGCTTTCATGGTCAAAGACCCACTTCGTCAGATGCACGTACTGCATGCATCTGACGAAGTGGGTCTTTGCCCACGAAAGCTTATGCTCCAACACTTGTTAGTCCAGTGGTCCCCAACCTTTAGAGGCTGCCGGGTGCCAGGGGGCGTGGCCGGGCGCCAGAGGGCGGGGACACATGCATGCCCGGGGGCAGGCGGCCCCCCCATAGCCGCGTGCTCGGGGGCGGGGGCCCCCCGCAAGCACCCCACTCCGGGGCCGGCGATCCTCCCAAGCACCGCGCGCCTGGGGCCAGGCTCCCCCCCCGTAAACGCCGCGCTCCCGGGGCTGGTGCTCCTCCCAAGTGCCGCGCGCCGACGCCCCCTTCAAATGCCGCGCGCCCGGGGC